ATACAATAACAATAACCAGTGTAATATGTGGTACCAGTGCAACAGTACCCATATCTGTAAAAAATTGTGCAAAGGTACACACATGAGCAAACAGTGCAAAATGTAAATGCAATGCAAAATGCAGTGCAAATGCAAAAAACAGTGCAGTTATAAATGGTGTTGCAGCATTTGTCCCAGCTCAGGTTTTTGTCTGTGACCAGTCCCAAGTACTTGTAGTCGCTGATAATTTCTACAGTATGACTATTAATTACAGCAATGGTCAGAGCCAGTTCAGCCCTGTGAGATAGTCCAGCATAACATTGTAAACACTGAGATGTGTGACTTGGTGTTTTTGTACAGTAAGATAACACGTAGATAAAGCATTCTGGTAATTTTCCAGATAATTGTCTCCTACCACTTGTCCAGCATGTGACAGTAATTCTTAGCCGAGGGCATCTGGAAGAACAAGAATTGTACCAGAAAACAGATGCAAGGTCCACCTTGGAGGAGAGAGTTTTTTTTTTTTAGTTTCTTGAGTGCTGTTCTTGGCTCCAGTATCTTAGAGTGGCCACATTTCAACACCTGAAATGATACACATATAGGACTTGGACACCATCCGCTGTAGTGCAGTAAAAAAGAGTCCCCATCCAGGTCACGTATGAACATCTGTGAGTTACTGTGTCAGTCAACAGGACAGCACTGATACCTGATACCTGATACCTCTGTGGCCCATGGGCACTGCAGAGTTTGTCCATGAGTCTCCTAATGCTGCCTCCATTATGGCAGACATTCTCAGAAATGGCTGAACCAGGTTGCTGATCATCTTCAAAGTATGTTAGTCAAATCTAACAGATACAGGGTCTATGCATCTCCTTGAGTGCCCATGAGTACTACAGAGCTCTTACCTATTCCAACCCAAGAGGACTGGTTTTTGAAGTGAAGTGATCTCGCTGCTTTATTTAGTAAAATTCCCTAAGCATTTGTACATACAAACAGCAGGTAACAAATAAAAAAAAATGGCTGCAGTTTTGTATTGTGTATATATTCAAGGAATTTTGTAAAAGAAGAATGCAGTACATTATCTCCTCTTATAATTATAAATAAATGTTCTGTGTCAATTTAGGCCTCAAACAGCTTTTGCAGAAAACATCTGTGTTGGCTCTCTGAGTATACAGTCATTACAGAAGACAGCATGATATAGATCAGTATTAACAATCCTAATAAAACAGACCGTATAAATGAATGCTGTGGACACAATGTGTGAGACTTATACCACTTTCCAGCAGAGGGCAGGCTATGCCTATTTTGAACACTACTTTGTAAAATGAAATGCATAGTCGGATTTTACCAAGTTCTCAGATGTTTCTTCATGAAATAAATAATTCAAAACTAAACATCCATTTTCTAACTGCTTTATCCAAATCAGGGTAGCAGGGAAGTCAAAGCCTATCCCAGTAGGCGACGGGCGCAAGGCGGGACACAGCCTGGACAGGACTCCAGTCCGTCACAGGGGCAGACACACACATTTTACACCAATTCTTTGCCAAAGCCAACTAACCTATCAGTATGTCATTGGAAGAAAATGGTACTCCTGGAGGAAACCCACGCATACATGGAGAGAACACACAAACTCCACACTAAAGTGTGCACCATACTAAAGACTGCACCACTATTTTTCATGTGTTTCTTATTTCTACAAATATATACAAAAGTGAATTCTTGTGGTGTCTGATATTACTTCTACTTCAAGTTAAATGGGTGTTTGAAAGATTGGAATTACTCTTGAACAAGGTAATGCTATATAACTGACTGCCCATGGGATATTCTACTGAACTCTTTAATATCTATTTTATATCTATCTACTATTTATATATTGCTTCTTGGTCAGATTATTTGCTAAGGGTTATTAGCCTTGCGTCTCAATATTATGTGAATTTATACTCGGACTTATAGACCAGAACAAATACTATTACTGCAGTTTCTGCACTTACAGGTGTGTATCTGGTATTAAGATACGTAACGAATACAACAGAACTTACTGTGACTGTTTGACTAAACTAAACAACTGATAATATATTTGTAGGCCCTGGATAGCTTCCCAGTCAGTGTCTTAAACGTTGTTGACATTTAATGATGCTAAGGTTAAATACTTCATACTGTAGACGTTGTGTTGACTGTGTGTATAACATTGCTCACTTAAGGCCCTTGCTCTATCTGAATGTCAGATATTGATACAGTATGTGCCTTTATTCAATCAAGACTGGTTTGCTGTATATTGTGGTCCTCCCTAATGTACTAAATACTTTATCTTAAGGTCTTATTGCAAAAGTATAGTCCAGATCTTAATCTAAGATCTGGTGGATTAGTAGTTCTTGCTATACTGAAAACTAGGCTCCACACTGTGGGTGACAGAGCATCTCATATGCAAAACCATGTCTCTGAAACTCAGAGCCTAAAGCCATTAGAAATTCTTTTTGAAAACAACGATCTATCTTTTCACTAAAGATTAATGTAGAACTTAGCTTGGTTATATTGTGTCAAATTAATTAGCTCTTTTTTCTCTTTTACTTCCAATTTTACTTCTGTTAACATTCAGATCTGAACTATGTGATGTTTTACTTAATAGTTTAGATTCGTATTTCTAGAAGATGATTTAACTGATTTAAAATACCATTAAGCTTTTAGCTAACAATGAATTGGTACACTAGGGGTTTATACAACATACAAGACACTGGGTCTCTTGAAAACTGCAATCAGAGTCTCTTGCTTTAATGGATCACTTAGTGTTTAATGTATTGTAAGAGTAAGATTGTAGAAGAGTGTGAACATCCACTGCATGGCAGTATTGGACTGTTTTATAAAGGTGTAGTGTAACCGATGCCATACTATTAAGAATAAGCCACATATTGTATATCTCTGCACACAAGGTAAATGGTTTATTGTCAGGAAAAATAAACGTTTTCCTTAATCAGGCCTTTTGGAAATCCAGAAACAAGTTAAAAAAACATGTACCATAAATTCATCAATAGAGTTACACAAACGGGCATGTTGAAAGCAGGACTTTGAATAGACAAATGCACCCGCAAGCGTTCAGTGCTTAGTTTAGCAGTTTTGATTTTCATTTCAACTCTCTAAAGTCAACACATGATGCAGGATCCTTTTTCTTGATACAATGTGCTTGCTTTTCAGTAAACCCGCCACATACAAAAGTTATTTTCTGTATTAATGGCTCAATGTTAATACCTCTAGGAGAGTATCACTGAGTAAAGATGTATATGTAGTTTTTCTATAGCTCTACAAACAGTTCAATGGACTCTTTTGGCCTTGATTTAATCTATATCACTGTGTCTGCAAATTATATACTGTATTACAATTCCAGGTCTTGCTACGAGATTCTTTTATCAACCATTGAGAATCTACTATCAAGAGCTAGTTTTTGTTGTGGTTTGCAGTTGGAGACTAAATAGAAATGTTTTGGTTCAGGCCTTCAACTTGATTATTCTTGGAAAGGTTGTGACAACATATGAAACCTATTTTTACACATTCCTTAGTTTTTCAGGCATTTATTCATTTATTCTCTACTATGCAATGCAAAGTGACTTTGAAAAGGCAACAAATGCCTTTGTTTCCAATACTATTGTATTGCATTTTTAGTGGTTCTCAGTATATGTGGAAGCTTTTAAATACTCATGTCACAGAAAGAAGTGATTTTGCTGAGCTGATAAAGACCCATCGTGGGTTCATTTTTTTAAAAGAGACAGTATGAGGGAAAGTACAAGGATGTAGTTGATACCAAATTGCAGACAATGGTTTGTAACTGAAGTAAAGACTACAAATCAAATTTCTTGATCTTAGCATATTAGGTGTTTTTTTTATATGGCAGATTTTTCATTGAAGGATTGTTGTATGATTCTAAAACCTCTGTATTACAGACATCAGTACTATAGCTTATTTTACTCAAAAACAGTGTTTAGATGTCTAATAAAAAAAAACAGGATCTAAAAGGTTGGTCACAATCACATCCCTTTAATTCCTCAAACAGGCACAGTTACAAAACAAGACTGTGAATATCATAGAAAGCAGAACACTTGATGTATGTATAGTGTTACAGATAGTATTTTACCAAAATTCACCTTGTTCCCAAATGAGCGATTTTACATCTGCTTTTACAAATAGAAGTACCATTTTGATACTCAGCACATTGTTCAGGTGTGAACAAGCTGATGTTTGAAGAGCAAAGATGAGCCAGATACTTGTGCTCAAAGAGTTAAGGCTCAGGCTGGAACAGACTGGGAAATGCCATGTCATCAAAACTGGAAAATCTGATAGAGCAGCTGTCTCAATACCGAACTCTGGAGTCCTCTACTTATTACTGTAGCTTACCACAGGATGCAGGTTCTTCCTTTTGAAGTGAGAAGACACTTTGAATCACTTTGAGATGGTATGCACCTTGAATAGGCACTCCATAAATGTGTTTCTGTACTTTAACCAGTTTTATTCTACATATGTTTACTGTATGTCTGTAGATTTCTGTTAGACAGCTAATCATTCATCCTTACATTTAGATTGAGCTGTCTCAAGGATCCAGGCCCATAAAATGCCACAGTTCACAATGACAACAGTTCAATGTGCAGGGAGTTTTATTTCAGAGTAGTCTGCAATTCTTGCAAACAAAAAGACTTTCAGAAAAATAATTTTTGTCGTCGTCACTACAGTATCTTTGTCGTCGTCACCGCCTTCATCTTCGCCTTCGTCTTTCATTCTGAATCCTACATACACTGCCACCACATAACACGGTACAAGTCCTTTTTATACTAAACAGACATTAATAGAATCCTTGTGAGAATGTGGACACTAACCCATTCACCAGTAACCTGTGAGTTACTGTTTTTTCAGTAACTGTTTTTTCAGTTTTGAGAATGCATGTAATGCATTTGCATCTACAAACTGGAAGGTTGCTTGTGGGAAAGGTAGATTGACTTTTAAGGTTCTAACAACCTTCCTTCTGTATTGTTTTTTAGGTTTCAGCCCTATGGTTTCAGACCACAGACTGGGCTGGGTCACTGAGAACTGTGGTAAGTGCTTACTGGCAATGTTCCGCCTTCATGTTCATTAAATTGCATGGCTCCTTTAAGTGTTGACCTTACAGTAACACAGTTTTTTTTGCAAAAGAAAACCAACTACACTTATCGTCCTATAAAGCAGATAACAAGCTTCAAAACACTAATTTCTTAATCAAACATTAAATGGATGTATTAATTCATACAATGGATTGCATTGACATAGGGATTTTCATCCCATAGGATTTCACAGCACTTTTTGGGGGGAGAGCACCCACTATGTTCTTCATTGAAGTGCAGCCCTTGCTTCAGCTGTATGCCAGCTACTCTGTGCCAGCAGCCCCACTGCATAGCAAGTCAGCTAGAAAAGACAGAAGGTGCTTCACCAGATACATTAAGAGGGAACTTTAGCTATGTCAGATTGTGCAGGCTCACAATGGGATTTAACCATGACGTCAGGGTTAACTTTCCTTCCCAACAGTACCAGAGGATTTTTAGTGACCTTGTAGAAGAGACCTCAGTTTAACATTTCATCCAAAGATTGGCACCTCATATACTGTACAGTAGCATATTGTCTGTCCCTAGTCACCATAACTAGTCACATACAGGAACAATGCAGTTTTCTTTAGTGGTCTCTAATCCTTATACTGACGAGGTCCAGTTTTGCTTGGGTTATGAGATCTAATGAGGTCAGGCTCAGACCTGGTAATGTATTTCCATATGATGTGTGCTATGAATGTATGTTCAGAAGAATTTTTTGGTTTACAAATATGCACATAGATTTTTTTGAGTTGATTTGCACCCAAGTTCCAGACAGGACCTGAAATGCTATTGCTTTGCACCACATATTGTGTATATATTCTTTGTGCCATCAAAATTGCTCTAACTCACAGCTGAATTATATGATACCCAAGTTGATAGTATGAGTCAGAGTTGAATTAGTCTGTGCCAACTGTGAACAGGAATCATGAAATAACAGGAGGCATTGATTGCTGTCAACCACAAATATGTTGAAAACAATTTCAGAAACGTTCGATGTCAGTGTTGTTTCCAACATCCAAGTTCAAGAGCTTTGCTGGCAGGGGATTGAAATATGCTCCCCCACTGGACATGCAGAAAACTGGTTCGTGATCCTGACATAAATGCAAGCTGGACAGTTTGAGATCATCGGGAGAGTTCATCTGGATATAGGACCTTCCAGCCATTTGGGTCTATTTTAGCCCACAGTCCTTAAATATCATCTTTGGTGGTGCCCTTTGTCCTTAAACCCATATGAAGCTGCAAGCTAACATGTGGGGCAAAACAATAAAAGGACCATAAGACAAAGACAGGACTACATTGCACTGGTTTGCCTCCACCAGAACAGCCTAAGCGAAACTGATGTGTAGCTGCTTAATGCCTTTCCAAAAAAGGCACCATTTGTGATTTCAGTTTTTTTTTTGTTTACCAATAACATATATGCACACTGCACACACATATGAGCTTATCTGAGGTCGGTGTGGTGAGTTTTCAATATATGTGCTGGAAATACCCCTGGTTGGCCTCCTGTACCATATTCTGTGTGCTCTTGGGTTCCACAGAACATAATGCTTTTTTTGTGTGGCCTGTTAACTGTAAATCAAAAGCTAAAAAATCTTCAGTCAAGAGCTTTTCAGATGGCCTTCTCAATTGAGACAGAGTGAGGAAGTTCTCAAAAGGGGAACAGGACAGGGAACTTTATTGTACATACTGATGACAGGACAAATTTTAAGGATTCGTGGTGCGAGATACTTTACATTTGACACTTAATGTTATGAAACTTCATAATGGAGGTTTCATTTCATTTCAAATTTTACTTCAGTGATAAATGGACTGTGCTTTTCAACAAATTCATTCCTCTTCTAGTTTCATCCTTCCATTGTTGGGTTGCTTCTGTTTTAAATAAAACTACTATTAGATGGTTTTTCATTAATCAAATGAGCAATTCCCAAGTCATTGACTTGTATTTAATATCATTGGCTGAGTGTTGTCTTCTGAAATGTCAGCACTTGGTACAGTCATTTTTTACGCACTACATTACTACAGTATACAGTAAAAGTAAGATAATGCTCTACAGTCTTTTTGATAGGAAAAAGATCAAAGGAAACAAGTTCAGTTCAGTAATGTTCTGATGCTGACTAACTTTTTTTTCCTGTATGCATGTGCTGGGGGTGATAGTTACCCAGTTCATTATGTATTGGGGGCACCCACACACCTGGCACCTGCCATACTGCATACTGTAAGTACACTTTGTATGCTTTGCTTTCATGAGTGCAGCTAAAAGAGAATAACCACACAAATTAAAAAGTAAAAACAGGGGAAACAGTAACTCATGATTAGACAAAGGCGTGAAAAGCTACTAAAAATATCTGCTTTATTGCATGTGGGAGGTTCTGTAATATACTATTACAAATGAAAAAATGCACATCTTCTTAAAATACATGATACTTTCAGAATTATTCATGTTGCCATGCAGGGTTATGTGCTGCGGTTAAGTCTGGAGCATTTCCACTTTACTGAAACTTTGATTACACATGCAATTGAAGCCTCGTGTTTTGAATGGATTAGTAGTGTTTCAGGGAGCAGAAAGTAGGCTCGTCACTTTATTGTCAGAAGGTGGTATCAGGAGACTTACAGCATTTGTGCTGAATCAGGCTTATCACAGCAATATGACAGGCTCTTGCTGTAAAATCGCTTCAACTGCTGGTGGCTTCAAGGCCTTTGTGGATGAAGGCAATATATCCAGAAAGGCAAAAAATGTATGTTAATCTCCTCTCAAGGGGAATTGTGCAATAAATGGTCACCCTTGCCATCAATCCAAATTATAAATCAATATTTTGGACCATTCTGGTGTAGGGAAAAGGATTTTATGAATTGGTGAATTTGTGACAGGTGTGTAACAAACCCAGTGCATGAATTCCAAGGAATGCCATTTGGTGTGAGGATGCCATGATGCACACAGACTGTACAGTGAACAGCCCAACCCTATGAAAACTGCTTTAATGAGCTCTGCTATCTACAATACAGTATATGTAAGACTATGCAGCTGATACCTATGAGATACTGGACAGTCCCAGCAGAAGTCTGCACGTCATCTTAATGTCCACCCAGTGGCTGTTTTAGGATGACTGGTAGTGTTGGAGATCGTCCTTCTCCCACTATCCCATGTGTCGCCACAGCACACGGCAAGACAGGACCAGGACATGGTCCACGAGACCTTTGAATTTGGTTTCAATCTTTCAAAAGCAGTCGTCAGGCATTGAAACAGACCAATTAGGGATGGAACAATCTGAAGATGTGTGGTAGATTGCCGTTTGCTGTGCAATAGGCCTTATCAGGTCCACATCCTCACCATCAGCTTGGATAGCAACATTGTGCAGCAGATGATACTTTTCACCACCAAAGATGGGAAGATGTAATTTTCTCTGGTGAATCAAGGTAATCTGAGCTTTGGTGATGGCTGACTGTAGCACCTATGACACAAGCCAGAACAACTTAAACAGAAAAGATTGGTGTGAATCAGGGCACATCTTTTATCAGAATTTGTGATTCACTCAGGAGAACTGATGGAATCTGTTCTTTGAATGTGTTGGGTTAGTGTGTCATTGGTCCTTATGTCCTGTGCTTCAGTCTACCCCTCTGCTGTTCAGCGCTTTGAATCTTGTCATGCAGACAAGATTCCTTGGGAGGGGAGGGGGCAATACCTGTCCCTCTCCTTCCGTGCTCAGAAACAAGAAAGGAAGTGCAGGCTGGGTAGGAGTAAAATCCAAACCATGTAGCACATTTTATTGCTAAACGCAGTATATATAATATAGTCAGAATGAACAAGTCAAAACCTTTCCAAAATAACCACAGTAAGTGACCAAGTTAAAGACTTTAATGTATTTTATCAGCTTTTTTGTATTTTATCATTACAGTATGTGTAATATATTTATTTCTTAAACTGTTGATAAAGTTCAGAGATGTTATGCTTCTGTTATACTTATGCTTGGCTACCACAATGTCCCTTTAGGTTTAAAATTCCATATTGATATTCCATATTAAGCAAATTTAAACATGCACAGTAGAGAATAAATGAAGCAAGCACTTCACTAACATCTATGTACCACAAGTGCCACCTATGGATCTTTGGCCAGTGAATTATATAATGTAATGCGCCATCTTACTTTTGACGTGTTTGAAAGAAATACCATGCATGCTGAGTGGCTGCATCTGTATCTGTCTCTGTCCCTCAGTGGTCAGGACCAAGAAAGGAAGTGGAGGCTGTTTGGGAGCTAAATCCAAACCTCGCGGCAGATTTTAATGCTAAATGCAGTGTTATACGTATATCCCTTCCTGTCCGCTAGATGTACTGTATTTGTTTACTAATTAACAAATGAGGGTTAGGCAGCAATTCTATGAGCACTGTAATTATTTTACCGACATTCTCAATTCCACGTTAACAGCATTTTCCAGTTATTTTGACTTTCCGAGTTTATCTGAATTTGGGATTCAAGCCCACACAATATTGGACTTGATTAAAAAAAGACTAAGCCCATTGTTTTCCATCCTGCCCTTATCAGGAAAGCGGCTTGTCCCTGTGAGGATCCATCTGGAGCATCCCAGGAAGCACAGGGATCAAGGCAAGATGGAGAGCATGCGGCTCTCCTCACCCAACGTCCTCACTCAGACCAGCAAATGTCCAGCCGTTTGAACCATCTGAACATTTGCTGGATTAATTTGAGTGATGTGGCATGTAGGGCTTCATAGAATAGACAAGAGGCACATGCTCTATGGGGAGGAACAGGGCAGCTCATTTTAAGCTCAGCTCAGTTGGAACAAACTGCCTTCCTTTGTTTCCAAACAATTATTCTAGGCTGCAACCTTGGAAATCCAATACTAGCACCCTTCATTGCCAACACAAGGGATTTCCTGTAACAATTCAGAGTTTGCATTTCAATTGAAACTGAAAGGTATTGGTACAATAGTAGGGGGTTTTGGTGCTGGGAAAAACAGAG